TCACAAATTTCCAAGATGTCGCATACGAAAGATTTTATGAGCTCTGTGCGCCTTCTCAGAATTTTGGGTTTTCCGCTTCTGACAGAAATACTTTTGGGAGAGTTAGGTCATCCTTGCAATTTTCTGTAAAGCCACCTCAGGCACAGTTTAAACCTACCTCAATAAGTGAAACAAATACGTCTCAAGAAAGTTACACTCTCCTAAAACTTTTTCTTCGCCGCGTCCCAGTTTTCCAGCGTCCGGGTGATACCTGCCGCGCTCCAAGGTTGACGCCGCAACGCAAACGCTTTCTGCGGCGGTTTCTGACGCAATCATGTCAGTCCTACTCTTCTTTAATCCTTCCTCTTTTTTCAGCTGTTTGAGCAGAAGTTCGTCAGTCTTCATGTTACTTGTTGGATATCCCTCCATTTGGTCTTACACATTTCGCTTTCATCCTCATTTTGGCGTGATTGTGAGCGAACAAAAATTTTGATCTCGCGAGGCTAACCATAAAAAATAGCTTTCATTAGCCAGTGCCCTGTGATTCTTGCTCCTTTGGGGCTCATCTTAGGAGATGCATTGATGGAGAACGTAACTCTCTTTGATTTACTCCCTTGAACTGCTCTTGTGATTCTTTCGGAAGCATGAAGTTTGAAGTTTTGGGCAACATGAAAAAAATATTGAATTTTTTTCAGAAATTCAATGATTTTTTGAAAACAATTCAATTCAAATGCCAGTGAAGAATTCAATATTCAAATGTTTTGTTCTATGTCATGGAAGTTCATTGTCTTTAAAAGGTTTTAGTTCACTGTCTTTGAAGTAAAATGAGTGAAATAAATATTTCACTTAACATTTAGTCAGCACATTCGGCACTTCCATTACCTAAGAGGGGGTCGCAACTGGACCCCCTTGAGATAAGGGGGTGACCCCCTTGAGAAAAGGGGGTCGCAAAAACCCTGAAAATGTTCGAACGTGACGGTTGACCCTGTCTAGACACTGGGCGGTATGTTATACTCAACACAACGACGACAGGCCGTTGTGCGTGTAACTCTGTATGCTTTCGTTTTTCTTTTTCAGAATCGTCACTACCCTTCAATTATTACACTACTAATTATTGGTACATTATTTTCCAGATAAGATAATGTAACAGAAAATTTGGTATATGAAGAATGCCAAATAAATTGAATAAAACGAGTATCAGGGCAAATACCGGTCGAGGATTCCTCAACCGCTTGTCGAGGATTTTCGCCCGATCAGTTACGCTCTCCCGCGCCGACATTCACACTCGCCATGCGCGAGCCGTCTGCTCTCCGCGCGTACATTCACTCTCGGCACTCTCGCGCAGTACAGAGCCATGGTCAAGGATTTTCTGATTGTTATTCACCCTAGCCTGACCTGTGTGAAGATCTGACGCACATGCGCGTCATGCTGTCGTTAACGTTCTAAAATCGGTGCTGTTTTTTCAACTTTCTTACTAGAAACCCATTCAAAAATTTTGTTTTTCATAGGTAAAGGTGTTATATTCCATGCCAACCTGGATTAATATATTGTATACCGTGGGCGGAAGTGGTGTAGTGGCAAGTGGCACGCTTACCACGCGAGCGGTCCGGGATCAAATCCTGGGTCGTGAGTCGCCCGGGCCAACCAAGCCTTCCATCCCTCCGGGGTCGGTTAATTGGTACCAGACTTGTCTGGGAGGATAAAAAACTGACTTGTACATCGGCTGGCCCCCGCAAGTCATTGTATAGGCCACATCGCATTCAAACGCCACTACGAATGTACAAATGGAAGTAGAATGGTGCCGCACCCAAAAAGGAATGCCGCAACCCAAAAGGGATTGATAAACGACGAATGCTTTATCCTTTACCCTTTTATACTGCAGTGGCGTAAAACCAAATGTCTGCATCACGCAACAAGAAAGCGAGGAATAGAGTTGAGGCACAGTGAAGCGTATCACTGCCCGGCTGCGCGCTGGACTGACAAGGGAAGGATACCAGGTCGAAGTGGCTCAATCCCGTCTCCCAAATTTGCGGAACGATTCTCTGAACAGAGTTACAATGGTTGTTCTAAATGAAAGCCTACCCTAAGAGAGGTTGGCAAAAAAGAGCTGTCAGCAACGGAATGGCCAAGGGGTAGCGCTCGCTGCTTGCGTTGGTGAGACCAGAGTAGGGATCTTGAGCTCGAATTATTCGCATTTTATAATTGTGCTCGTTTTCAGCTCAAAGACAGTAACCAGTATTGAAGTTTAAACTGTGTACATCGCCGTCACGTGTTTAGAGGAGTTTTCTTCAAGCATCAAATATTTTCGTCATAATGTTGTAGCCAGTTCTTTTACAAGAGTTGGGGTGTTTGTACGTCACTTAAGGTTATTGGAGATATGATATGGTTGCTCAGCGGGTCCAACTATCCCGAAGGCTAACTTCTAGAAAACTGACATTTCGAACCAATTTCCAAAAGTTGGCCGACAACCAGTAGTTAGCGTTATCCCTAGCCAGTAACCCTAGCGCTGTCCTGCCATAGACGACAGCTTGTGTACTTGACAAACACCATCTAAGATGTAGAATAACGCAAGCAAGTAAGAAATATAGACCTATTTTTCACAAGTATAACTGAAAGTTTAATTCCATCCCTTGATCAGACTCTGACAGTGGGTTGAGGGCCAGATGACTGCCCACATTTTCGACTTTAGGTCAAAATTTTAGATTTGGACCAAAAGTTGTTGAAAGGGGTATTTTGACGCGCTGAACACGAATATCACCTCTGCTTGGCACGAAAGTGCCTACGCGTGCGCTACGGGTACCAGAGGCGGTCATTTGCAAATGGCGCGCACAGTGATCGAAGCTCCTCGCTAGCTCCTTCCACTTGTAATATAGGCAATCGCTGATGACTTAGCATAGATGAGAGTCCCCTTAACAATGTTCCTCAAGGAAAAGCAAAAGTCAGAACTCGCCAAGAAGTCGATCTCACGACCTCTTTCTCGTCGGCCGGGCCGCTGCCACTGCACTATCTCGCTTCATAACTACGTTCAGAGAATCGTTTCCGCAGATTTGGAGAGCAGATTCGAGATCAGCGTCCAAAAACACATCTAGTGGTGTATGTCTCGTTACAAATGGCCACTTCGACCTGGTATCCTTCCCTTGTGAGAGTTATTGGTGACCTATTCAAGTCGTTGAGGTCTTCATTATCGAGCACACACAACAAAAGCTAACGCTAGCTCTATTCTACACTACAAAAGCTGGCGCGCAAGGTCGCGTAAAAAATATAAGCTGGATTCTCAACAGTGAAGGCGATTCCGATACTCGCCGAAAAGTGAAAGACGACAAATTCTCTCAGCTTCGATGAGAATTCGAATTTCGACTCGTTTTCAAATAATAATAATATACTACATGAGCTTATGAAGGAGCTGTATTAAAAGCTAAATCAAACTTCAATCAGACTCCATACCAAAATCACAGAATTCAGAGCCGGAGTAACTCTGATGCTGAAAACCCCCGCCGCAGAGCTCAGCATCAAAAATTCGAATGGTGCTTGAGCGGTGAAATAGATAAAAGTTGGCTATCGAGTAGTTAGAATTATCAACACCATTATGGTTTTACACACGAAACCTCACG